TAGGGTGAGTGCTCCACCGGCCTTCCTCCCATCCGTTCCTCAAATTCCTTCACCTTTCTGTTTCTATTATTATGCTATTAATCGCTACTGCTGGAATGTCTGTAGCAACGGCTAATGGAGTTGTTCGTCGCCTTGCCATCGCCACTCCAGCGATGCTCAGTTCTGCACGCAATAGAGCGTATTTGCAGTGGTCAAAACGATGGCCCACTTTTTGCCATCAGACATCAGATTTAGCTGAGCAATGTTACTGATGCGAACGAATTGACCATGATGTGACTACTCGACGCGAGTACACATCGACGCGTCGCGCTCATCGCCCTAATCTGCCCCTTGCCCCTAAGCTATGGACTATATCTTCCTGTTTAACTACCCGGAAAACTACCAAGACCCGTAAGGCTATAACTGACCAACTAATACCCCGCAGCAGCCTCCCGCACCCTATGCGAAGCCTTTTTATCAAATATAATTCCCCTTGGGCCCATTTTCTATCAGCCATCAGTTTTGGCATGTTCGTGCGCTGCAAATAAGTACTTAAGTAGTTACGCTCTACTCACTTTTCTCGCCGAATCGTCTTTTCATTTGTGTTATTCCTTGAGAATGTAAAGATTAGATTAGATAGTAAAAGACAAGCGGAAAAGGAAACAGGAGCAAACACACACTGCTCAAAAAACAAATACCTTCATGGTTCGTGTGCGCAAGGAAAAAGGCGCTGTGTCTGCCCCAGTTCCCTCGGGAACTTCAGGGAAACCAAAGTCTTCCAAAAAGTCACGATCCGGGGACACTATCTCAGAAGAACAACTGCTTGCTTTGGGTGGAACCAAGGCCGACTACGAACTCGTTAAAAACATCAAGGAAACCGTATCAGCTGGCCCGTCAAACTCGGATGTAAGTCTTTCTGCGTCTTCTGTATTCTTTGGCCCATAATTTCTTTGATAGCCCACTCTTTCGAAAGATGTCTCCCAATTCCTGAAGGGTCTTAATCTGGGAGGCCGCGAGATCCTTGACGAACCCTCTACTACGAAACAGGGCAAACCTCCCAAAAAATCTAAGAAGAGCCTCCCTGAACCAACAACCTCAAAAGACGCGGCGTCAAATAAAAAAAGGCGTGTAAGCACCAAAGCCGCAGATGCTTCAACATCGTTCACCGCTGCCGACGAGGCCAAGACTGCGTCATCCAAAAAGAAACCACGGGACAACTCCAAGGCCATCATAGATGTTCCGGTGCCCGTTATTGACGAGCCCAAGATCCAACTGCCCACCAAAGTTACCCTCGACCCAAAATCCCACTTCATTTTTCCACCAGCCTCGCAGTGGTACATGACATCGGTGCCGCTGGGGGCTGCGTCGAGTCCTTTACCAGCGGTATCTGCGGCCCAGCTCGCATTACTTACCACGCGGGCATCTAACTTGCATACCACCGACATCTACACCTTCCAGACATCCTCATCGTCGAATTCGTCCGCCTCTGAGGCCAACTTCCTCTCGAAAATTATTCAGTCGGGCACACTCTCCGACAGGCTTAGCGCACTGACGCTCCTGGTTCAGAGCAGTCCCTTACACAACACAAAAGCGTTGGAGACTTTGAAAGGCATGGCTGAGCGGGGAAAGGGCAAGGGTGGGCGGGAAGAGAGCCTCAAGGCATTGAGATGCGTGGTGGATTGGTGGGTGGGCGGCGGTGCTCCTGGCCGAAAGCTCAAGTACGGTCTACCTTTGGTCCTTCTAAGTCTTGTTTTGACACACGCACAGATACCTGCGAGACCAGCCGCTCACTCACCCTTCTGTGACAGACCAGCATCTCTTGTCATGGTACTTTGAGGACTGGTTGAAAAAATACTTCTTTTGATCCTCCAAATCTTAGAGGTCTGCTTGCTTCGCTCAATATCCACGGCAGTATCTTACGATCTTTCCTTAGACGCTATCTCTCGATCCTCTTCCCTACGTGCGAACGCAAGCGCTCACTCTTATCTTCACCCTCCTCCGAGACAAGCCAGAGCAAGAGCAGAATCTCCTCCGTCTTCTCGTCAACAAGTTGGTGCGTTTGAATTCTTCGACTCCCTACTCGCCCCTGCTGATGTCTTCCATCTTATGTAGGGTGACACTGAGAAATCTCTTTGTTCTCGCGCCTCGCACTACCTTCTTCAACTGCTTCAATCCCATCCGTCGATGAAGTCCGTCATTGTTCGTGAAATCATCGCACTCGTCCTTCGTCCCCCCGCTCCTCCTCCGCCACCTGCGCCAGCTGTTGCTAAGCACATTCGGTTTACCGATGAACCCAAACCAAACCCAAACCGAAGCCTGAAGAGAAAAAATCCACCGGGAATGCGCACGCTCGCTATTATGCTACGATCACGTTCAACCAGATCGTACTGTCGCCGGGGGACAGAGATGTAGCGCTGCAGTTGATCGATGTGTATTTCGAGTTATTCAAGGAGCTGCTGGGAGAAGGCGGTATTCCCGATGCTCATGACGATGACGAGGAACACGATGGGCCAGACAAGGGCGAGGGCAAAGCTGCCGAGATCAAGACAGACAAAGGCGGACGTGTACGAGACGGCGGCAAAGGGAAGGGCAAAGGAAAAGGCAAACTTACCGAAGTCAAAGGCGCCGCAGGATTCGCCGAGGTAGAGGATGCTCATTCGAGACTCATCTCTGCCATTCTCACAGGGGTGAACCGGGCGCTTCCCTTCGCAAAAATTGAGGCCGGTGACGTCGGGTAAGCATACTTCGCTCTACATCTTTGTTTACCGAACAAGTATTGCTTAGACTCAACAAACACATCGACACCCTATTCCTGATCACTCACACCTCGACCTTCAATATATCTCTACAGGCTCTCGTGCTGATCCAGCAAATATCTGCGTCGCTGGCCCCTCCGCCATCGGCTTCAGCCTCTTCGTCATCCGCACCTACATCCAAGTCGATCACGGACCGGTATTATCGGACGCTGTACTCATCTCTTCATGACAATCGCTTGCTACATCGTCTAAGCAAGCAATGTATCTGAATCTTCTGTTCAATCCATCAAGGCCGACGCGGGCAATATGGACGGCGAGCGAATAAAGGCAATTGTCCGGAGATTTATACAAGTATTGGTGAGCGGCGGCAGTGGAGCAACGAGTTTATCGCTGGAGGGCTATTTCTGCTAGGCGAAGTAAGTCTCTCGTTGTCGATAAGCGACCCTCGAGTTCACACTATCCTCCTAGCTGTTTAGCAGTATACCTGGTCTGCGAAGCATGGTCAACGATCCATATCCCGAAGCAGAGAGCGAGAGCTATGACCCACGTAAACGGGATCCCCAATACGCCCATGCTTCGTCGTCGCCTCTCTGGGAATTGGTATGCAGCTCACGATCGCTTGCTTTTGGCTGTTCTTACCTTCAAATAGACACCCCTGCTTCATCATTACCATCCCGCCATTTCCCTGCATACGCGCCAATTGCTCTCCTCCCAGCCTTTGACGGCCAGCGCCGACCTCTCTCTGAACACGATCTCCCATTTCTTGGACCGATTCGTGTACAAGAATCCCAAGAAACTGAAGCCGAACGCCAATAACGCTAATGTAGTGGTCGGCAAGGGGAAGGGTGCGAGCGCCATGCAACCCGCAGCGAGTGGGCTCGAAGGAGGCGGCGTCAAGTTAATGAAGGGCGAGATGGGAGATATGGAGGATAGAGTCAATGAGGGTAGTTTTCTACGCAGGAAGGAGGCCGATATTCCAGTGGATCAGGTGAGTTCCTATCGATTGTTGGGCGTTCATTAATCAAATTGCTTGACTCCAGGTTTTCTTCCACAAATTCTTTTCCCGGAAGAGTGAGAAGGAAAAGGCCAAGTCCGCCAAGCTGAGCGTCGCAAGAACCGTGGTGAAGATTCAGATTCAGATTCAGAGGAAGACGCAGAGGAAGGCGATGAGGAGATGGACTTGACGGGCGACGAAGCGAAGAAGGTTGGCGACGCCGATGATTTCGACGAGGACGAAGACAGCGATGTGGGAGAGGATGAGATCTGGAAGGTGGGTGCTAAGCATCTGTTTTTCTGGTCGCTCAAGTCGTTGACAATGTCCTTCTCGGCAGGCGATGCAAGCAAGCATGCCTCGAGCTGCAGGTGACGAGGACCTCATGGAGGAAAGCGACGACCTTCCTTCAGACCTCGATAAGGACGATGCGAGCGAAGCTGACGACAATGATGACGACGCCCTATCTCTTGCGGAAGACTCCGACAACGAAGATCTTATTCCTCTTGATGGGGAATTCCCGGGCGGTCTTCTTGACTATGACGGGTCAGACGGAGAAGCAGAGGAGGAGGAGGAATGGGGCGGGATAAATCCGAACAACGTCGATAAAAAGCGGAAGCGGGAAGAGTCATCAAACCAACGGCGGAAAAAGCTGCGGTCGCTCCCGACGTTTGCCAGCTACGAGGATTACGCCAAGATGATCGAGGATGGGCCAGAAGACGACATCTAGCGGCGCATCTTTTCGCAGTCACGAATCAAGTCCCGCACAGCTCAATGGCATTATGGAAACGGCTGCGGTCGGCTTTGACGTTCACGGTTCACTCGTGGCGAATTTTGTAGGATATCTACAAGCCGTTGCTGAGCTGTATCCACAATCAATCCGTGCATGTAGTATGTACGGGAAACGAGAAAAAGACAGGAAGGACCAGGAATTTGTTTAGGGAATCCGTTCCTACTTCGCCCCAAACTCAAACTCTCAAGCCAACTCAAGAATATTCACATGAGCACTGGCTTTCAAAACCCGGCTGGGATATTTTCTGAGACAAAGAACCATTTTGATACCCGTAAAACCCACGAAGAAAATAAAAGAATGAAAAATAGGGTATATTCTCCGTCCGCGCGCATCGTTGTTCTTGGCTAGACTGTCATGACAGGGGCCCCAATTGCAAATTGGGTTGTCATCGGCAGTCTGGTCCGACTATGAAGGAAGTTTTGCAGAAGTCGAATAGAAGTAGCTCATCAGCTATGACGGTATCAGGGAAACAATTGCTAAGTCCCTCTTAGCTCAGTTGGTAGAGCGCGTCACTAGTACCAATCCTCAATGACGAGGTCAGTCGTTCAAATCGGCTAGCGGGAATTTATTTTTGTCTTTATGTTCTGTTCCCTGTTATGGCTTCGACTTCCCACCCTCGATATTGTAGACACCAGCTTCCCTGTTTTTGTGTTGCTGTACAGGCCGCATCGCCTCCCGGTGTGCATGTAGTGGGACTGGGCAGCGATCAGGTTTTGATGGGCTGCTGACTAAGTGTACAGCCACTCCAAAATGTGCCGCTCAATGTCTGTCACATTACACCTGCTATTCCAAGCTGGGATGTTCATATCACTGAGTAAATATGCTAAATAAGTATTAAACACACTCAATCTGTACCCCTGTGATTTTTCCCCCTCGTAACAGCCTTCCTTTCAGCTGTGGAAGTGCTGTGTCACGCAGTGTCACACACTAATTTGCACTGTGATCCTACGCCAGCACTTCACGTTTTTGAGCTGATACACCTCTTTTGGTAGCTCACCAACCTGATTTTATTATTAAAATCTATTGATTCATACTACATCTGACGGGGAAGCTGGCCACACTAGGAAGCTGGCCACTTGGACAATATAAGGCCAATGAGATTTGGGTATTGAAAGTTTGTATGTGGGGGACAGAACATGACCTTGGGAGATGTCCCATGCCAAATTTCGGAACGAAACGATGACTTGATCAAAAGTTATGGCATGTTTGACAGCGGCTCGAGGTGTGGGAACATCAATTCCTTAGCACTGTGAAAGATGAATTGCTCGCTGCTCCACCATCTCTTGCTTGATTTCCGAGTCCCTGGGCTCGTTATGTCCTCTTAACACCTGGCTTCAATCCTATGTTGTTTTGGCCTTGAAAATTGTTTCCATCCCTTTCCAAACTTCGCACAAAGGGGCCATTGGTGGTGTTTTGGCCAGCACTTGGCTCCACCTGTATCGGGGGAACCTTGGCCACTGCAGGCTCGGAACTGGTTACAGGTACTATACATACCAAATCCTTCGATCTATGAGGCGTAGCCTAATTTTATGTACTTTGGCTGCCCCTCACCCACGGCCATTGCGTCAAATCACCCAAATTCTGTCTTGTTGATTCCCAAATACACTGTGGGCCATGGTTGTATCAGGGTGTCGAGCTGAGGGTTCATGTACATCCATATTGGTCTGATTAAGTCCCTTGAAGCTTGCTTTGGGTAAGCATGTCCTCTTGCTGCTGGGTGGCCCTCATTTAATCGGCTGGATGGTTACCGCTGATCTATCCCTGTATCAGAAGCACCCTGTTCCACTGGTATTATACGCCTCATGTAGCATTTAGCCTTCCAAAATAGAGCATTCGGGTCCATTGAACATTATTAGGGACTCCAAGGCCACTCATATGGCTGGTAACAATCAATTTGGGTGGGTGGCCAGGTACCCTGTCAACTGCCTTTTCGGGACTACCGTCCGAAATAAATTCACTAAGCAATCAAAATGCCACCAGAATTTGCCCCAACTGGTTTGACCGATTCATGGGATGTGTGCCTTCAGTTTGTAGCCATTGGGCCCATGGTGAGATCCTCTACATGCCTTTTAAACGGCCAAAACCTCTTAGGTGGCCAGGTTCCCCCTCATATATAGTAGGGAAAATATTTTTTCTGGTGCCCTGCCTACCTTGCCGGTATGAGATAAATCCTGATTTTGGATGGGAGAAAAAAATCTGTCCCTATGAATCAGTGGATTTTTACATTTCAAGAGACTTTGCCTCTTAGGTTTAGTCCCACTGGAGGGAGGAAGTCGTATAAACGTGAAGGTGTTTGTGATTGAGATTTTGGCTTGGAGGCTTCATCAAACAACATGAGCAAACAACTCACCATTTAGGTGGCTGGTGCCCACTCCCACATGTAGGATATCTACAAGCTGTTGCTGACCTGTATCCACAATTGATCCGTGCATGCAGTATGTACATGCAATAAAGGGAAACGAGAAAAAGACAGGAAGGACCAGGAATTTGTTTAGAGAATCCGTTCCTACTTCGCCCCAAACTCGCCCTCGAAAAAACGCGAACCTTTGAGACAAGGAAGTGGGTTGTCCACCCGCTGAACGGCACACAATTAAGACATGTCGCGTGTATGACGAAGCAGAACATCCTCCTCAATTTTGTCAAACTCTCAAGCCAACTCAAGATTATTCACATGAGCACTGGCTTTCAAAAACCCGGCTGGAATATTTTCCGAGATAAAGAACCATTTTGATACCCGTAAAACCCACGAAGAAAATAAAAGAATGAAAAATAGGGTATATTCTCCGCCCCCTCCTGCGCATCGTTGTTCTTGGCTGACATTGGCCAAGACCAAGCCCAATGTCGCTATGGAGGTCGAATGGAAGTGGCTCATCAGCCATGACCGTTTCAGGGCAACAGTTGACAAGTCCCTCTTAGCTCAGTTGGTAGAGCGCGTCACTAGTATAAATCCTCAATGACGAGGTCAGTCGTTCAATTCGGCTAGCGGGAATTTGTTTTTGTTTTGTTTTTATGTTCTGTTCCCTGTTATGGCTTCGACTTCCCACTCTCGATATTGTCGACACAAGCCTCATTGTTTTTGTGTTGCTGTACAAGCCGCATCGCTTCCCGGTGTGCATGTTTGAGAACAATACCCATTTTGCATCCGCACAGACTCATTGACTCACAGCTGTCATTAATTTCGGGCTTTGTTCCTGCCCAGCTGGCTTGGCTTTGCCAGCTGAATAATATTTCCAGTACGCCTTCGGGCAATATGTATTGGTTTCCTAGCACGCCGTTCGCCAACACCCAAAACGCGCATAATTCGATGCACTAGTTGGGAATTGTGGACCGAGTGCATGTTCGCCGGCGGCTGCTCAATGCTCATGTGCCAAATGCTAATGCCAATACCGATCCAGCTGTCAAGATGAACCTAGATGAACATCGAAGAACATTAATATCATCGAATCCATTCACTCCGGGACTGCTTATGCGGTTCGAGTTCCGTGTCAATTCTGGTTTAAGCTGACTCGTGCCCTCTACCGCCAAGCTTATTGGTGACTCGCCTCACAGCCTCACCGCCATCCCGCCTCCGCGACTGTGATTCTGACCCGCCAAGTTCCATTCCCAAACCCCGCCAGTTCCATTGATCGCTGATCGCGAGGCGGATCACACGACCCGCCGTGTGTTGCCCTCGATCACGATCGATATTGCGGCGGAATCACATGTAAGTTGCGTTGCATTGAGTTTCGTGTGTTGGTGTTTCAAGTGCAGGCTGGTCGTGTGCAGCTATATATACCTAAGAGAGGAAAGGTGCAAGCGTCTGAGTTGTAATGAATGTTGCATTTGAATTAAGCATGTAAATGTGGGCAAGCCCATTGCTGGAGGAAGAGGGGGAGGTGGTGGGACACGACTTGGATGCTCGGAGCTGGATTAAATTAATATTTGTATCCCACAACGTACAATGACTTGCATACCAAGTCTTCGTCCCCTGGCAATTTCATGATCATTAGACCTCGGATCAGAATTTCGAACCACTCGAGAATGCATGCCGACTTGCAGCCCGGCGATACACCGATCGCGATATACGTATCCAACCTTCTGCATATCGCGCGTGATTTCGCAGTCTGCACCCCGCACCTACCTGTCCCCGCACGCTGATAGCCTATAATAACCATAACCATACCTATAACTGTAACCGACGCCGCTGATAACGCGATAGCGCAGCACGCCATCCACACGTCAGTCCGAGGATGTACTTACTGATAGATACCCGACCCGCGAGAGGGTCGTCCACGTATGCTGACGTGGTACGTGGGTGAGTAAGCGGACTTGCCGCGGTGGGTCGAGCTGGCCGCGGCGAGCGGGTGGTGGTGTTCGAGAAGTTGGAACGAGGATATGTGTACGTACGTACGAGGAACGTTTGCGCGGACGCGGGGGGTCGGGGATGTATATTATTTGCCAGCGAGAGTGTGTTCGAACGTGGGTTGTGTCGGGAAGGACAGAAGGGGACAGACAGATAGAGGAAACAGCAACCATCAAGTGAGAAGGGAATACGAGCGGTCTTTCGAGAGAGTCGCCGCTGAAGGCGAGATCAGATTCCGTACAGGCAGTCGGGTTCCATTCGTCGAGGCACACCGGAATCGCCATTGTTCGAAGTTATCACACAGTCTGATGGGACCGAGGGTTGCGTGAGAAGGGAGAGGGTGATTATGTGCGAAGCGAGAGCGCGCTCGTGTCCCGTGCGTTTAATTACCGTCGCGCCGGGATGATGTGCAGAGGGAGGAGAGAGCTGCGAATGCGAGTGGGAGGAGGGGATATATCCTCGGAGTGGATCGTCTTTGTGCAGGGCTGCACGCACGTTCGCGCCTGGACCCGCTCTGGATGTCGTAAGGTTGCGAGCGGCTTCGGAGGTTGTCCAAGTGGTGTTCACAGATACGGGCTGCGCACGTTTGCTTTGCTGGGCGTGGGACCCGTGATGATCAAGGGAGCAGTGAGTCACTGCGGGATGCTGACGTGGTGGGACCGATAGGGAGCGGGACCGCCGAGGGGATGGTGGTGATCCCGGAGATCCACGGTGGAGGTGTCAGCAATGTCAGGGATAATGACCCTTGAGCTAAGCTTAAGCAACCTTTGCTTAAGCTTATCCAAGTCCAGGAACAAGTCCATGTTACGTATGTTTAATCTGGTTACGGCGTGCCAAGGTCGCTGTCGACCGGCAATTTCCGACCGAGACATCACCGCCAAGTGATGAGTTGCAACTCTCAACTTTTTGCAGCCGCTATGTCGACCCAGCTGTCCCCGCCGCTGCTGTCCTCGCCGAGCGCATCCATCCTGCTGCCTACCCAGCCATCGACAAACTCCTTGTCCTCGACGTCCACGAGTGCCTCCTCGTCGTCCGCCTCGAGCAGCTCGTCCCACACAAGCGCAAGCCACACCAACGACAGCACAAACACCCACCCCCAGAACACACAAAAAATGCGCCGCATCCGCTTCGCCCCCTCCCCGACCCCCGCCGTGACGCCGACGACGCAGACGACCTCCCGCTCCCGTCCTCGGATCCCCGCCCAGATCCGCCCGCCGCCCCCACTGCTGTCATTCACTCACTCCCCTCGACCCGCACCGCATCCCCCGCCCCCGCCCCTGTCTCCCTCCCCCCGCCTCCACCCCGTCCTCCCCTCCCTCCCCCTGAACAAGTCCTCCACCTGGCCCAAGCCAAAGTCCTTCCTGCGCCCTTTCCGCCGCCCAAGCACCCCCACGTCCAGCACCGACTCGCTCACCCCCACGCCCTCACACGCGGACGGCCAAGCCCCGACAAAGACGAACCGCTTCAGCGTCACCACCGAGGCCGTCCTCACCCTCGGCACCATCAACCTCTTCCGTGCCTCGTCGCGCGACCGCCGCACCCCCGCGTCCTCGGACGACGAGGCGCCCGCCGACAGGGACAAGTGGGGGCTCGGCCTCACGCGCTGGTCCTCCGCGTCCTCCGCGACCCCCGTCGGCTCCCCGCTCGCGCGCACGCAGTCCACCCAGAGCACCGCGTCCACCGCCGCAAAGAAGCAGCGCACCACCGCCACAAAGACCAAGGCAAAGAGCAGCAAGCCGCCGCCGGCGCCCACGCCGAACCCATTCGCGCTGGGCACGGGCAAGCGCGGCACGCGCATGCTCAACGGGCGTGTGTACGGCGCGCGCGGCGGCAACCCGTTCGCGAACGCGCGCGACGAGGCGGACCCCGAGTTCGTCGAGTGGGGTACGGCGGCATGGGCGCCGTGCGCAACACCGCCGCGGGCACGCACTGGGGGCGCGTCACGGCCGGCGGCGGCGCCGCGGGCACGGGGATGGGCGTCGTCGGTGGCGGGGGCGGCGACGCGGAGGACGAGGACGACGGGAGCGGCATGGGGTGGGTGCGGCGCCGGCGGGAGGCACGCGAGCGGGAGGCAAGGGAGAGGGAGGAAAGGGAGAAAGAGGCGGGGGAGAAGGAGAAGGAGGAGCGCGAGGGGGAGAGCAGCGCGAGCACACCCACGGCGGACAGCGTGCGCGCGCAGGCGCCTGCGTCCCCGCCGCTCTCCTCCCCTCCACCTCCACTCTCCTCTCCCGCACTCACATCCCCGCCTTTGACATCCCCACCACCCACCTCAACACCGCCCCGTCCGCGACCCCGCTCGCCTCTCCGCCCCTCACCTCCCCCCCACCGTCGGCCGGCACGCCACACGACGAGGAGCACGTCCTAAGCGCGGTCACACTCCCCGCGCACTTCCGCTCCCACTCGCACTCGCACCACCGCTCGCACTCGCACCCGCTTCTTTCTGTTTCGGGCGTAGAGGGCGGGGTGGCGCCCGCGCCGCCCAGCTCGAACTCATCCAATTCGGATTCGGAGTCGGATTCGGAGGACGAGGACGAAGATGAGGGGGGTGTGGGTATGGGTGCGGAGAAGGAGCGCGATGGGGAGACGAAGGATAAAGGTGGCAGGGTGAGGAGGAAGATGAGGAGGACGAGGAGGATGAAGAGGAGGAGGACGAGGCGGCGGAGGCGAGGCGACGCACGGCGCTGGGCGCTGGCGTGGAGAAGATCAGCCGGCATAAGGAGGCGTAGGCCTCTCAGGCTTTCTGTAAGACTGTCTGGCTGCGCGCGGCGGAAGGAAGAAGTAGGGCGGACGAGGCGGGATGGAGAAGTATGTATTCATTTGGTCGCCTGATGCGCGTCGCCCGCCCTGCGCCACCGCCACCCCGCCCCTCGTCGCGTCCGCCCCGCCCCTGGCATATCCGCTGTCGTCTCACTATCCGCTCGTCCTTCCTGTCTCCAAGTCCTGTCTCGTCGATACCCCTCACGCCCACTCACGCCTCACGTCCAATTCAACGCACCTCACACGCAAGCAAGCAAGAACGCAAGAAAGTAAGAAAGCACCCCCTCACCATAACATACCATACGCATCGCAGTCCGATAAATATTTATCTCCGCTCCCGCTACATATGCAGTGCATTGTGTGCGTCTTCCTTCCTCCCCCTCGCAAATGCAAGTCGAATCTAAACTGATTCTTTCCGTCCCCAACTCTAGTCTCTGTACACTCCAATTTATCCCGGGTCTTACGTTGGCTACTTTCCTCTCCTCTGTACACTACCACCGCACCACACCACAACACTACGCTACACCCAGACTATTTCGGCTCGCTCGCCTCGCCCTGTACTTAACTGCCTACCTACCTACCCACCGACCTCCAACTACTTCGTGTACATACATACATCACTACATCCACCCACCCCGCGGACTTCGAATTCATCCCCAATTGCATCCATATTCGCATATTATTATAGCGTGCGCGTTGACGTTTCGATTCTCGATTTTGTCTTGGCCGAGAGGCTAGGATAGCACTTATGCAGCCTGGGTTCCGAGTCGGTCGTCCGTCTGAGCCTCTTTGTACGCTTCTTGAGTACTACTAGTAGTGGTGTGTGAGGGATTCGGATGAGTGTGCAAAAACCAGTGGCTACTGCGAATTTTTTAACGAGGGGGCAGAAAAGACGCGTGGACGGGCGGGAAACACACAGTAGTGGAGGGTTATCTGAATATAGTTAGTACTCTGTCGTGCTTCCAGGTATCCTGTCAGACACGGAATATCTACGGAAGGTGTCATTGGTGTATGTTACTTTGCCCGGGTAAAACGACTTGCTACTGGTTCCCATGAGAACTGCACTAAAAAAGACGGTCATCCAGGCCGTATAGGCAGACGGAAGACAAGACACTGGTAGAAACAAAAGACGTGCAGAAAAATCAAGTCCCGCTAGTCGATTTGAACGACTGACCTCGTGCATGATTATCTATACCAATGACGCACTCTACCAGCTGAGCTAAGAGGGACTCCTTAGTTGGTTTCCAAATACATATATGACGGACAATCTACCTCTGCTGTATTCTTTTCTCTGCTTAAGCGTACTCAAGTCAACTTACCAAGTACCGTGAACGGCCCACGTCGGCCGCTGGCGCTCACATGAGCCACGCGGGATCACCCGGTTCGTCTAAGGCAATGAATGAGGCAATGAATTACGTCTTCACGACGAATCCGGTCCCATCCGGTGACGGGCTTCACCTGCCTCTGCATTGGATTCTACGTATGGGTCGCTTGGACCGACGAGGCTTCTCAACATTCCGACGAGGCTTCTCAACATTCCGAGTCCTTTCACACTCCGTCAGCAGAGCCGCTCTCCAGACCTTGGTGTTGGTCAAACTCCTCTTTGGGTGCTCCGCGGCTGGGCGGTTTCACAATTCCCATATTCGTCAATGGAAACGAAGCATTTCTATATCTGGCATAATACGGGATCCTGAGAGAATCGACGATGACCCCGATGTGGTACTCCGTGGATTGTCCCCTTGTTCTAGCCGAAGCGATATTAAACGAAATTTCTGCAGATCGAAGCTCATAAAATCGCACCGATCTGTCAAGGTTGTCAGGCGCTATAGCACAGACGGAGACGTGTCTCTGTTAGACCGCTACACTTTACATAGTTGACGGCATTGGGCCCATGTACTGCCCCCACGCGGTGACGGATGCCCAGCAGATTCTGAGGCGACCGCCAGTGAGATCCGCAGCCGCAGCCGCCCGCCGATAACTGGCGCTCGTACTGTTCTGATCAATTTGCCAGTACCCGCTGTAACTCCGTTGCGCCTATGCGTGGAACTGGGATTCGTGCAGGGCGAATAGGTGCTCGTGGACTCCGATAGGATGATCAGGACCCACAATCCGGATGATCATCATCACTTAGCAAATGTTGCATTGTTGCGCCGATTCCGTTTGATATACGTGGGAAGGAACTTGAACGCCACTCCCAAATGTTGGGATTTTATTCAACCTCTGGCATTGGTATTCGCAAGTCTCGCTGCTCACAAGGATAATGGTCCGCCGTCCTTTCAGTGCCTTGACAAAATGCTCCAGCTGCTCGCGAGTTCAGACTGGATCAACGCGGTGCGTGCCTGGCAAATATGCTTCTGAGCTTAATCGTTGCATCGCGGGAGGGTAGTGTGAGAAAACTCAGGGAGACCGCTTTTTTCATGAACGCCTGCACACAAATACAGATTCAACATTTGACCGTCCCTACCAGCAAACGACCACCACCTCTCGCATGGGGTGGAAAAGAAAGTCGCCCAAAGTCTATAATACAAGCAAGAAGGTAATTTCTCGTCGCAGTGAACTGCTTCTGAGAAAATGTGTGTATATATGTTCTCATGTCCTTTGCCCACCGCTGAATCCCCCCCCCCCCCCCCCTGCAGACCCTGAAGTCACTTCCAACGGTCTCCGAATTAGAAGGGGGCTGACGATAAAACGTGCGCATCTAGACGAACGAATGCGTCGGCCGACCCCGGGCGCAGCTGCGTCGACTACAACCATCGCGCCCACCGCCCCGAACACCGCGTCGAGTTCCCTCGTCCAAGAAGAAAAGATTGGCGATGACATGTTGGACAATGCCGTGCCGAGCCGGGGGAGCAAGCCCGGCGAGGTCACTCACACAAAGGATATTCTGTCCGGAAGGTAGGTTCTCCCCCTTTGGTTCAGGTTTCTCATTGTCTCGAAAAGCATGCAGGGAAAAAACGCTCCAGACTCCATCGACGCGCTTTCCACCGAGCTCAGCAAGCTACGTCTAGCCTCGCTGGCTGCAGTGGAACTCGCTCGCAGGCCCATTGATGGCCGGCGTGAAAATTTCGGCGAGCGCGCTGAGCCGCATGACACCCACCGTGGCGCGGTTGCGGGAGTTATGGACCCGCGTGGCTGCTACGTGCGCTGGCACGAGCCGATATGGCGCATCCGCCGTGGATGGAGAGTGATGCGGCGTGGGCAGCGCGGCGTCAGCTGCAATGCGTGGCGCGAGAGGGTGAGGGGACAAAACGCGATGGGCATCACGCTGATATAGGACAGCACACCGTTGTGTATTACGAGCCCGGCCACTTGATTCACAATAAGTCTTGTGTATTTTTTCGTTCAATTCGACAGGGGGCGTGACACGTGACTTCTTGGACCAATTCGACAATTCGACACGTCCGCAAATCGTCCGTGACCGACCGAAAAAATTCGACCACTTTACCAAAAATTTCGCGAGAATCGAGCTTTTTTGCAGGTTCCGGGTGCCAAATTTTCCGCCTTAGTGACGCGTGACTGTCGAATTGAAAAAATACAGTAAGTATGTGTTTTCGTTATGTAATCTCATGATTAAGTTTGTATCTGATTACGATTGACTATATTAGGACAATATGCCGCGCTTAGACCGTAAGAAGTTGCCATCAAAACTACAAGTTTGAGCCGCAGCAGCGGGCAGACTGATCTGAGAATCCAGTCTTTGTTTCATAGGTTAGTATGGCATAGTATGCATAATTTACATGGTTGAGATGGTGATTACATATATGTTGTCACAGTGCACATATCATCCTTTTGATCAATGCGACGCAAAGCGTCCTCCAGCTGCTTCATCCGATTGCCTGAAAGAGTGTGGTCCAAAGGAAGTTCAAGCCCTGCCCAATCGTAGCTGTTGATGCACACCAAAACGCAGAGTTGATTGTCACCAATCTCAACATCCGGGCGATTGGACGAGGCGTACGGCACCGAAGGATGTTCCCGATAGTCGACTGTGATGATGGGAAGGATGGGATCCAGGAATCCGGGGGTGTCCAGGAAGGTACGGTAGTCGTCGCGCAGATCTTGCCTGAGGCAACGAATGGCGAAGGTAAAGTCGACTTTAGAGCATTCGAATACGAGTCCGTCTGATTGAGCGGGCCGTCAGAAAGTATACAACAACAACAGCCCATACCACATACCTTGACGGCGCTTTTGAATGTCTTTGCAGATTTCCCGATGCCCTTGCTTCCAATCCTTTTTTTGGCATAGCCGTGAGCAGTATCCGACGCTCGCGCAACCATCGCACAGGAAAATGTCCACATGCGGGCCACTAACACGGCGACACTGGACAACACGATTTAGATGATAATTTAAGGGACGCCACTAGCCCTGGATGCAACTCACACGGTTGCATTGACAAGAATCTGGGGTGAGAGCTTCTTCGCCCGCGAATGCCACCCGTATGTGTGCCAACTGTCTGAAAGTGGCCCACGCATCCCCAAAGGGACCTGACTGTGCAACGTAGCCCTTTCGTTCAACCTTCTTCAGAGCCCTCCCGACGGACCGGACAACGGACAGGAAGCCCAAATACGGAAACAGGATCGTTTTCACGATTTGAACACGAGTTTGGTCCTCCAACTCGGACATATGAGCGGTCCACTTGCTCGAATTCAACAGCGCTATGAGCAGACCAGCATCGATGGCTTGAGTCACCCATGTGACCCGATCGCTTTGGTCCATTCGGTTGAGCAGATATTCCATAACGACCGATATCCAGCGTGCAATAACGGTGTCGTCCTTCGAAGGCGTCTGTCTCGATACCAGAGTGCGGAGTAGTCGGGTAACATGCCGAATGGAGTTTCGGGCCAGAAGAGCATCGAAAAGAGATGGGTGGAACATAAATTGCAGCACCTGGGAACCAAACCCGTAGTCCACCTCTGCTAACATTGCAGGATCTGCGAGTACTTTTTTGAAGGAGCGTAAATTCAATATCCGACCGTGTGCCAATGTGTCTGCTGACAACTCGCTCTGTCCCAATAAGTCACTGCTAGGCTGGGTCGGATCGAATAGTTCAAAGAAGAGCGATAGCATGCCCCGGTAATTCCAGTCCGGCTGGTCAGAGCCTGATTTACAGGCTTGCCAGTACCAGAGCCTCGCGACCATGGCCCGCAGCCCAGGCGTTTCATACACCAAACTGCGAATTGATGAGGATTTCCACCCCGAGATTGAGTAGAAAATCGCCACGAAGCCTTTGTGGTCTATACACCCTGATTACCGCCGGCCGCTCGAGAGGTTGGAGGCCGTACTCACCGTCTAGCTTCCCATGGAGCCACGCCTTCTCGAAAAACTGGATCCAAAGCCACATATTCGGCAAGAGTGGTCGCAAAGCGTCGGTGACAAGGGAATTTTCTGGCATGCGATCCACTAGCTTGTGCAATTCGTCGCATGCATGAAACGCCCGGATTACGCCGAGATCTTTTCCCTTCGGAGTCATGGTGTCAATGTCCGGTATATTGCTTGGATCGAGTGACTAGTGAACAGGTTCAGTAAGAGTTCCGTTTCGTTCAGCTCCTTGGTCACCTTCACGAAAGGTTGAAAATGATATTTAATTGCCCGTTCGGAAAGCAAAGGGTTTAACATGATTGTGGTGGTAAGAGACAAGGAGTGAGTCGCTGTTCTCTGCCACCAACCGTTTTAGGGCAAAGCAAAGTTGCACATGATGAACGTTCAAGCCATTGTGAACAATGTGCTAGTTCAATGGGCCAGTCCTAAGGGGACACGCAGAGATCGGAGGTATCAAGATTTGGTATCCGTCAGTCCCTCGTCTCTGGGCGGGGGGATCGATTTGTCAAGTGGCAAAAGCCTTCTGAACGGCATACCACAAATGAGTTTCATCCGGATTCCGTCCGCAGGTTCGAGTGAAAGGGTTTATACTTCCCAAGAAATGCGACTATCTTTTGACCGTGAACCAGCACTGATCCAGGTCCCACCCACCTTTCCATGTAGAGGACGAGGAAAATGGCGTCGACAATACTTGAGTGGTTGGAAAGCTCGGATCTACTGCTGAATTTTGAGTTTCAGCTATAGCTATCCTCTTTTAGCCAAATTGCCATAGCCCCCCTTTATTAACACCTCGCTACGCGATCGAGTGTGATCTCACCTTTGGACAATAAAGCTACCTGCGAGCGTCCTGCTTCGGCCGCCTGGATTTTGCGGGAGTCGGAACGAGGAGAAATTTCCATACAAGAGACTTTCC